TGGTGGTCCTTGCTAGTTGCTAGTAGTTTGTCATGTCAGGGGATCACATGCTGTATAGCTTGCAGCCAGTTATTATCTTTCTAGAGTTTCACCTTGCAGGCATGAGAGTTTGTCCTTGTATGCTTTCAGATGGAAGTCTTTGTGGTGGGCTGTGAAATTGGAAAGTAAGTCTCCCTGGTCTGTGCGTAGTTCAAACATGAGGTCAAAAAGTACACATCTGTTTCCACTTCATTTGTTTGCACTGGAGACACATCCTGTCATCTTTCTCTGATACTTTTCTCTTATCTGTCCCTTTCTGCATGAATATTTGGATACTTTTCATAGTCACCATTTAATATTATGCCAATTTGCACTCTTTGGTGATAGATAGCACTCCAATGTACTTTTTTATGATGTTGCTTCTGTCCAATGTTTGAGGTTTAGTTTTTTTCTCTGTTTTTGTTTTAATAATTTGTATTGGTCAATTTATTTTGGATTTCTAAGCCAAGTCTTGGACTAGCAAGCTGAAATGGCTTCTGTCTTGTTTTAGCCATTGAAAGCTCAGAACTTGAGAGTTTGCAATGGAGAGTTTTAGTCACTTTTTTTAGGCGCTTATAAAAAAATTAATGAATGACTATTTTATTAGTAGTAGATTATTAGTAGATAAAATTTTAATTCTGTTAAATGCATTATTTACAATTCTGTTTGCAGAATCTGATATCATGTCAGTTCAGAAAGTGTGTTTTACATTTATATACACTATAAGAAAATTAATTTCTGTAGAAAAACAGAAAAAGTATTAGTAATTTTCTGCCAAATTTGCAGACATTTGCCTAATACACAAAACAATGCACAAATTCTAAAAACAGGTAAAACACATGTGAAAAACAAAAATACAAAAAATTAATTCATATCATCAACACACATCACATGCTGTGGATAAAAGTGTCTGCCAAATGCATGAATGTAAATTAGTCTCTGTTGTGTGTGTCCAATTTATTGAACTGTTGATTTAAGAGTAGCCCCCTGAACTCGCATATATAGTGTGCTGGGTCTCTACTATCTCTCCAGTCACTTTTAATGATTATCTTTATCTGATTCGGGATAATTGGACTTGCCATTCACAAGGGTACTGAACATAGTTAAGCTACTTACCTCATTATATTTGTTAGGATTACGTATAATTAGTTGTGAAAGTATCTCTTTACTCTTGGGATTTGTATAGAATCATGTTTATTGTCAACACATGCTCAAAAGTCAATTAAAAAAGGCAACAATTCCAGTCTTCCAGTATAGTACCAACTCAGTTCTGTACCTGAGGACCATCTGACTGACAAGTGGAGGCTTTCAAATCTCCAAATACTGAAAAGATTCTTTCCTTCAAAGAAAGTCAGAGAGAGTCAAAAACCGGTCGAAGATATTTTGTTTGAGTGTCTGTGTTTGAAGGAGAAAGGTTCTCTTTTGAACACAGGGCTGCATTAGTCTAATGAATTAAAAAAGAATGTGGTCTCGGGTGACTGCAGGAGCTGACAGCAGAGTGTTCCAAACACAGGGAATCTCAGGAGGTCACCTTGGTCATTTCTCTGCCGTGCTCCTGTGCTCTCCCACAGAGTTCATTCGGGGACAAAACGCTATAATTTTCACAAACAAAAATGAGTCACAAACAGGGCTGGGCCTATCGGCTGGATAACATCAACTTAGGAGGATGCTGTCCAATCACAAAATGATTTGTTTGCCGTGATCTAATGTTTGGATCGGTCAAATGCAGATTAGTTGTCCATTGCCTGACATCATGAGCTCATAGAGGACATCTTAATTCTGCAATAAATCTTCATATTTGGCCTTTATAGGGGGATGACTGTGAACACTGTAAAACACACACACACACACACACACACACATACTCGTGTTTACTTGAGTATTATCATGTCTTCTGAAGGCATACAATATATTTGTGAGAAACATACCAAATTAAAATCTTTGTTAAAGACCCACATAGTTGTGATTACACAACTACAACTGGATCAACTTATATGTACAACTGGACTTATGTGTACAACTTATGTGTACATACAACTGGATCAACTGAATCATTCAGATTTATGAATAAATTAAAATGAATCAGGTTGATCGTGGCAGATTCACTGAACAGATCTGACTCAAACGAATGATTTAATCACAAAACAAACATTGCTACATTGCTCATGAAAATAGGCTGGATGTGAAATTTTTCATTGAATAATGGGTTAAAGTCAGCATGAAATGGAACTTGTGATAGTATATTCTTCTCTACTTTGATGTATATCTGAGTGAAATGGTTTCTCTACTTGTAAAAACAATTCACGTTCTCGTAGAACGTACTGTACCATGTAATGGTAAACTCAGAATTTTAAGAGAGCTCTGATTTGAACCACATGATCGCTTGAAAAGTCTCTGTTAACATCTGTCTTCCTATAGTCACCTCTAGCCAGGAGACTCTTGTCAGAAATAACAGACCAACCCTTGAATAAATATCCATATATGTCTGTGCTGTGAGTTGAGCTTTTCTGCTGTGTCACCGCCAGAGTGTTTTTGAGTGTCAGCGTGTTCATTCACCCAGGATGTGATAGGATAGCAAATTGTTCCCAGAAATCAAAGTAAATATTGCATTTAAAGACTAAAGCAGCAAAAAAAGCACATGAAAGTCCCTGCTTTTTTTACAGTCTTTAAAAAAATGTGGGGTTCTACAGCATGGTTGTCAGGAGTAAGACTTATACAGATATTTCTACAATTTGACCACTGAAGATCTGATTGGCGGTAATGCATTTTCTATTAGGTTAGGGCATCATTTGGCCTCCTTGTGCTCTATTTTCAGATGAAACCTTCCCCTTGAATTGGTTGTAGTAAAGAGAGAGTTGTCTTAGCATCTAGAGCTCTGCAGCTCTGACTGTTTGGATGAGAATTTTAGCAGAAGCTGTCCACAATGTTCCACTTCATAACATGAAGCTCTTTTCACTTTTCTTTGAGTTTTCTCATGGTCCCTGACAGATTATGCAGAAACACTCTTCTTCTTTTCTCAGCTGTACTGATTATATCAGTTGCTGGCAAGTTTCCTTTGCTTTCTAGCCAGTGTTGGTCTGCTATCAAACACCTTCAGCTGCCCACATATCTCCCCATCACACTCACTATCAATGTGTTAGACAGCACAGTACACAATATTGTAATATGAATTGTCTTACATGCACAAAGCAGTATTAAACTTGTATTGTATAGGCTACTGGATATTGTACTGTATATGGAAGCTTGTTTCTGCAAAAAAAAAAAAAAAAAAAAAAAAAGGTAATTGCGAATTTATTTTTATTTTATATCTTACAATTGACTTAAATGCGTAATTGTGAGAGTGTTATTTTTTTTTAATTGTATAAGGAGTGTTTCCTCCGAGGAGGCAAGGGATGTAGTGCCTCCTTAAAACAATTGAATCACAGGACAAAAATAAAACAACCCAAATATTATGGAATATGGCATTAAAAATGTATAAATTGATCCTTGTTCAAATAATTATCTACAGCGGACAACGAAACTGAAACACTGGCCAATATGGGCTGCATCTGAAAACTTACAAATGCTGCCTTAGGAGGACGCATTTCAAAGTAGGAAGGCATCAAGGCACGTCTGAATCCAGTGTTAGCTTCACTTCCTGTCTCCTGAGATATCTTCATCTGATGGCAGCATAGATGAATCCTTCGCTGTCTTTGATATCCCACAACCCTTTGCATTTCATTTGGTGACAGGGGAGCTAGAAAAAGAAAGATGACATCTGAGAGTAATGGTTGCTGGTCAGTTTTTACTTTTACTTCTGGTCAGAAAATTTCTACTTCAGTAATTAAATATTTGTTTAGTTCTCACCAAAGATCACTCTATTTTGCTGTAAATCATTAAATTGTCACTCTGCCTCAGAAGTCTGTTCAAAATCAGTTTTGTGACGTACCTTTGTGTACACTGCCTGCAGAGTCATTGCCTAGTCAGCTGCCTAAGTTTTCAGATACAGCCATAATGTTGGAGTTTTGACACATACTTGGTGGCCAATCTTCACTAATTTTACATTCCATCAGTAAGAGCAGAGTGTGGGGGTTGAATTAGCAGAGCTATGGCACAGCTGTACAACATTGCAATCGACACAACATAATTAGTAGACCTATCAGAGTTTATAAGTGGACAAATTGTTGGTGCGTGTCTCGCTGACTCTTCTGGGACCAGAACAGCAAGTCTTTGTGGTGTATCGAGAGCTATGGTATCCTGGGTAATGTCAGCATACTACCACGTTGGATGAAACGCATCCAACAGGAGTAACTGATGCAATATGAAGCTGTCTGAAAGGGTAAATAATAACCCTGATTGCATCCAAAACACACAGCTGCCCAAATCACTGCAGAATTAAATGTGCACCTCTCCTGTTTCCACTAAAAGTGGTCAATTGGAGCTCCATTTGTTTGTTTGACTACAGGTCATGTGTATGATTGATTTTGTGTGCTCCTTTTGAGGATGACTAAATTGAAAGAAGCATTTGCTTGCCATGATTTTGAAGTGCACAAAACTTAGTCTGGTAAGGTAATGGGAATTTTATGTACAGCGACTACAGTATCAATCAGTGCAAAGTATTTCTCATATTTCAAACCATATTACTTTTTTTCTTGCTTGTTTTTTAGTGTTGCAACATTATTTAATATATTAGACTGAGGATTTATCTGACACGCCTTTACCTAATTATGTGAAATATTGATTGCAGCTATTTTCTGTTTTATTTAGATTCTTTCCACATTTAGATCTCATGTGTTTGTAAAACGTACTTCTATTCAATGTAATTTTATGTACAGTCTTTACAAGAAAGATTTAAATTGAATTTTAAGCGAAAAGCGATGATGCCCTCTAGTGGTAGGAAATACTTTCCACGTCTGCTCAAGTTATTGCCATACCATTCAGTTCTGTATCTACTGAAAGGAATTCCCATCTTTACCCTCTCCTTTCACTCTCTCTTTCTCCAGGACAGCAAAGAGCCTCCGGACTGCAGACTAAGTGAATCTTTCACCTCTACTGGTTGCACGCTGGGGGTAGACCTGCACAGGAGGAGGCGCCGGTTCTCTGGGAACCTACAGTTGCCTCCTTTATCATGGCGGCAGATGGAGAGGTCACGCAGTCCGGATGATGAGTTCATGGCAAGACCAACTACCCTGCCCTTCATCACACCCCCTCGCATTGACATCACACCTGTGGACTCTGAATGGTGAGTCCATCTTAATCAGCTCCTATCACTGCTCCTCTAATTTCAGAAATCTGATTCGAATCATGTGTGTAAAATGTCTGATGTTAGGGAACTTTCTCCAATCCTGGTTTAAAACAGTGGTTCTGTGGAACTTCGAGCTTGACAGTTGAAATGTTTGGGAAACTATATTTATTTCTTTTGGCATAGATTAAATAAGCTTTATATTATATAATACACGAGCATTCAAAAGTTTGGGATTAGTAAAGCGTTTTTTGTCTTTTATGCTTACCAAAGCGGCAGTTATTTGACCAAAGATACAGTAAAAATCTGTAAAATATTAGTACAATTTGAAACAACTGTTTTCTATTTTTTTAAAATGTATTTAAAAATGTATTTGTGTGGTGACAGCTGTATTTTTAGCATCATTACTCCAGTCTTCAGTGTCACATTATCCTTCAGAAATCATAATATGCTGATTTAGTGCTTAAGAAACATTTATTATTAGGGGCCAAGCACCGAAGGTGCGGAGGCACCTATTGTATCTGTGCCGGTTCTTATTATTATTATTATTAGGGGCCAAGCACCGAAGGTGCGGAGGCACCTATTGTATCTGTGCCGGTTCTTATTATTATTATTATTAGGGGCCAAGCACCGAAGGTGCGGAGGCACCTATTTATTATTATTATTCTTCTTCCGACTGGGCGTCTATGGCAGCCCATAGACCGGTTTGCGGGAAAGTTGTTTTGGTTTGACATTCTGATAGAGGACAGTCCCAACTTTAAATACACCAATTTTGGTGTCTCTAACTCATTCCCTCTAGCGCCACCAACTGTCCAAAGTTTCACTTTTATTATGCTAATAACTTTTGAACCGTAAGGCCTATCAACAAAATTCTTTTTTCCTCTTGTTCCTGAGCTCATGCCGATTCGATCGCACCCTATGACGTCATTTTCCGTCATAAAAAAACGGCCGCCATTTTGAATTTTCCAAAAAACCTACTTTTGCGAACTCGTCCTAGACGGTTTGTCCGATTTTCACCAAAATCGCACCGGATCATCTCCAGGCAGTGCTGACAAAAAGTTATGGAATTCAAGATGATTCGAATAACCGTTTTCGATAAACGCGTAAACAAAATTTACGTAGCGCTTGCGAAAACAGACGTGAGGTTGTATCTCCGCAACGCTTACTCGTTTTCACACCAAACTTGGTACGTGTTATCACAAGCATGACCTGAGGCTACGTGCTGCGTTTCGGCGCAGCGCCACCTAGTGGTCCGGAGATATGAAAAATGGCTATTTTTGCTCGTAACTTCTGAACGATTTCTCCAAAAATCAAAAACTTGGTCTCGTTAGATTCAGGGCGTCATGCCGAGTCGACTGATATCCAATTTTCCCAGATCGGCCATTTTGGCTGTCGGCCATTTTGAATTATGTGCTAAAATGCTGTATTTTTTGAACGCATGAACGAATTGTTACGAAACTCGTTATGGGTCATCAGTACGATGCCCTGAAGAAGCCTGAGAAGTTTCGAAACAGCGCCACCTAGTGGTGAATTGTTTTATTCAAACGCTTATAACTTTGGGTGTGGTACACTTATTTTCACGGGAGTCATATTTTTGAGGTCCTGAATCGTTGCCGAGTCCAACGATACCAAATATGTCGGGTTTCGTCTCACGGATGGCGTAGCGTAGCGATTTAGCGCGAAAAAAACACTTGGCGATATCTTCAAAACCGCTGTTCCGATCGAGACGAAACCACCGCCAGAAACACGGAATCATAGCTTGTTAACTATACGCTAATGCCCAAATGCGTAAATATTGATAGTAAGGGGTAGTAAAATTCAAACAAAGTCATGTGTCAGTCATTTTTTACGTGTTTTTTCATATAAATGTTTATAACTCGGAAGTAAATTGAGATATTTGCACCAAAATTGACACACATATGTATGGGGTCACTCTGAGGACACATAAAAAAAATTGTGGGACTGAGCCTCTTGGTGGCGCTATAATAGAACAAAACGTGAAATTCCCATTGACTTCAATACAGTTTTGTGAAATACAATGCTATACTAAACAAATGCTTTGGTCTAACATTACGAAACTCAGTGTGTGCCATAAGCAGCATGCCCTGAAGGTACTCAAAAGATTTTGAGACAGCGCCACCTGTTGGTCAAAAGTTATAATTAATTTCTGAGAACGCTAATAACTTTTGAATAAATTTGCCTATTGCAATGAAACTGATCTTAATAGATTCCTTGGGTTATGCCGAAAACATAGATATCAGGTTTTCATAATCAGACAAACTTCCTTTCCGCCATCTTTATTTCTTTGAAAAGCCTTCTTTTTCGAACTCCTCCTAGACCGTTTGTCCGATTTTCACGAAAGTTTAATCGCATCATCTCCAGACCGTGCCGACTAAAAGTTATGAATTGCACGATGATAGACAAAACCGTTTTCATATACCACAGCATCAAAGTTTAGGCATGCTGCCAAAATTACTATTTAGGCTTTATCTCTGCAATGCCTTCACATTTTGACACCAAACTTTGCATGTGTCATTGTCACCTCCCTCTGACCACATCACATCTATTTCGTAACTGCGCCACCTATTGTTCGAAAGTGATAACCCATTAAATCATCTTATAAGTTAATGTTTATGTGATTTTTTTAGCCATTTGCCCAAAGTTCTCTCAAAATGCCCTTAATTGCTCCTTGCTGCAGTTGGTCTGCCACTCCTTGCCATTTTGGCATATGTTGCCGCTTATTGCGCTTGGCCCCGGTAATGGCTGCTTGCAGCTATATTTAGGGGCCAAGCACCGAAGGTGCGGAGGCACCTATTGTATCTGTTCTTTTCCTATTATTATTATTATTCTTCTTCCGACTGGGCGTCTATGGCAGCCCATAGACCGGTTTGCGGGAAAGTTGTTTTGGTTTGACATTCTGATAGAGGACAGTCCCAACTTTAAATACACCAATTTTGGTGTCTCTAACTCATTCCCTCTAGCGCCACCAACTGTCCAAAGTTTCACTTTTATTATGCTAATAACTTTTGAACCGTAAGGCCTATCAACAAAATTCTTTTTTCCTCTTGTTCCTGAGCTCATGCCGATTCGATCGCACCCTATGACGTCATTTTCCGTCATAAAAAAACGGCCGCCATTTTGAATTTTCAAAAAAACCTACTTTTGCGAACTCGTCCTAGACGGTTTGTCCGATTTTCACCAAAATCGCACCGGATCATCTCCAGGCAGTGCTGACAAAAAGTTATGGAATTCAAGATGATTCGAATAACCGTTTTCGATAAACGCGTAAACAAAATTTACGTAGCGCTTGCGAAAACAGACGTGAGGTTGTATCTCCGCAACGCTTACTCGTTTTCAGACCAAACTTGGTACGTGTTATCACAAGCATGACCTGAGGCTACGTGCTGCGTTTCGGCGCAGCGCCACCTAGTGGTCCGGAGATATGAAAAATGGCTATTTTTGCTCGTAACTTCTGAACGGTTTGTCCAAAAATCATAAATTTGGTCTCGTTAGATTCAGGGCATCATGCCGAGTCGACCGATATCCAATTTTCCCAGATCGGCCATTTTGGCTGTCGGCCATTTTGAATTATGTGCTAAAATGCTGTATTTTTTGAACGCATGAACGAATTGTTACGAAACTCGGTATGGGTCATCAGTACGATGCCCTGAAGAAGCCTGAGAAGTTTCGAAACAGCGCCACCTAGTGGTGAATTGTTTTTTTCAAACGCTTATAACTTTGGGTGTGGTACACTTATTTTCACGGGAGTCATCTTTTTGAGTTCCTGAATCGTTGCCGAGTCCAACGATACTAAACATGCTGGGTTTCGTGTTACGGTTGGTGTAGCGTAGCGATTTAGCGCGAAAAAAACACTTGGCGATATCTTCAAAACCGCTGTTCCGATCGAGACGAAACCACCGCCAGAAACACGGAATCATAGCTTGTTAACTATACGCTAATGCCCAAATGCGTAAATATTGATAGTAAGGGGTAGTAAAATTCAAACAAAGTCATGTGTCAGTCATTTTTTACGTGTTTTTTCATATAAATGTTTATAACTCGGAAGTAAATTGAGATATTTGCACCAAAATTGACACACATATGTATGGGGTCACTCTGAGGACACATAAAAAAAATTGTGGGACTGAGCCTCTTGGTGGCGCTATAATAGAACAAAACGTGAAATTCCCATTGACTTCAATAGAGTTTTGTGAATTAAAATGCTATACTAAACAAATGCATTGGTGTAATATTACAAAACTCAGTGTGTGCCATAAGCAGCATGCCCTGAAGGTACTCAAAAGATTTTGAGACAGCGCCACCTGTTGGTCAAAAGTTATAATTAATTTCTGAGAACGCTAATAACCTTTGAATAAATTTGCCTATTGCAATGAAACTGATCTTAATATATTCCTTGGGTTATGCTGAAAACATAGATATCAGGTTTTTGCATAATCAGACAAACTTCCTGTTCGCCATCTTTATTTCTTTGAAAAGCCTTCTTTTTCGAACTCCTCCTAGACCGTTTGTCCGATTTTCACGAAAATTGAATCGTATCATCTCCAGACCGTGCCGACTAAAAGTTATGAATTGCACGATGATAGACAAAACCGTTTTCGTATATCACAGCATCAAAGTTTAGGCATGCTGCCAAAATTACTATTTAGGCTTTATCTCTGCAATGCCTTCACATTTTGACACCAAACTTTGCATGTCATTGTCACCTCACTCTGACCACATCACATCTATTTCGTAACTGCGCCACCTATTGTTCGAAAGTGATAACCCATTAAATCATCTTATAAGTTAATGTTTATGTGATTTTCTTAGCCATTTGCCCAAAGTTCTCTCAAAATGCCCTTAATTTCTCCTTGGTGCAGTTGGTCTGCGACTCCTTGCCATTTTGGCATATGTTGCCGCTTCTTGCGCTTGGCCCCGGTAATGGCTGCTTGCAGCTATATTTATTATTATTATTATTCTTCTTCCGACTGGGCGTCTATGGCA